TTTGCAGCAGTGGATAAAAACTTCTGGCCTGGACACAGTTTGCACCTCACCGTCACATTCCTGTCCTTTCTACGGACGAACTCAAAATAATGGGCATACCTCCACCCCTCGAAACTTATCGCTGACTCAGCCATGTTTATGCAGCACTGCACGTGGAGATGTTACGTAAACATAAACCTGCGGCGGAAATCCCTCTTGTCTGTCAAAGGGAGAATCTAGTCATTCTTTATGTTAGTAGGCTAACTGTAGTGTGATTTCTGATTTGATAAAAGTAGCGTTGTAACGAGTGTCGGGCGATGTTAGTAACTGTAGTGTGATTACTGAATTATAACGCGTTACATTTCTCCGTTACCGACAAAAGTAGTTATTTTGGTAACGCGTTACACCCAACTCTGCTTGTGTGTGTACGTAGACTTACCGTAGGCCTCTTCGATGAGGGCACAGTAGGGGTTGATGCCCCCCCCCCTCTTGGCCTCCAGCTCTCCCAGTCGCAGGATGTTCTCCAGGCCGTTGAGAGCCACCTGAACTATTTTGGAGTCCATGAGTGTGAGCAGGTCACACAGAGGTTTTATACAGCCGAGATCCACAATGTGCCTACAGGGGGCGGTGCACACAAAGACCCAGAATTACACTTTTATTCAGAGCTTAAGAAGACCACTACACTTATGTTATTAAAAGTGTTTCCGTACCTAATTTGCTCTGCAGAGCCCCCTGAGGTGGCGTTGGTGATGGCCCAGGCTGCCTCCTTCCTTGTGCGAAACTCTGCGACCTGCAGGATGGTGATGAGAGGAGGCAGCAGATCGGCATCCATCACCATCTAATGAGGGGGAGAGGACTTTCTTAGAGGAGGATATGCTCAGCTTCTTAACCTCAACTTCCTGTGTTATTCCGTCAGACGCCAAACAGAAGTAATCAGAAGACTTCTTTGATCTTCTCCAAGGCAACGCACTTTTTTGAGGCGTCAGCAGGTGAAAAATCTTAAAACTGCAACTTTTAAAAATACTTCTGAAAGGCTTTTTATACACACACACACACACACACACACACACACACACACACACACACACACACACACACACACACACACACACACATACCTGTATTTGTGCTCGGTTCCCTGCGGTGATGTTGGAGATGGTCCAGCAGGCTTCCTTCTTGATGGACTCCTTGGGGCTGCTCAGGAGGTGCAGGAGGGACTGCAGCGCCGAACAGTTCAAAATCACCTAGACAATCGTAAAT